TGTTAATCCATTATAATAAAATAAAAAAATACATTCTTAATGAATAACAAATCAATTCTGTAAGAATACAATGTCAATGGCATTCTGTATGAATACATTCTGCTAGAATATACTATCGTCCCTCCATGTTTTCTTTCTTTTCATCTTTAAAACCTAAAACCGCATGTCATCTGAGCTTAGCAACTGCATCAAGTTAGGAAAAAATTAGTCACCTCCATCACCATGTCTGTAAATTAATATGGAAAAAGTGAAGTATGGTTTATCATAACTTAACAATTGTGTATATACCTTAATTTGAAGCTGCAAGAACTTCACATAGTGGACAACTTCTTCAAGCATTGTGCTAATGTCAACCTTCGTCCCATTTGGAACAAGGTTCTGAAGGACTTTCATCATAGAATTTCTTCCATAAAATCATCAGATCTTAACTACAATTCCTAGTTAGATTTTTAATCCTTGGTAGCAGTTTTAATCGGAGGTAAAACAATATCTTTTGATTCAACTATCCTTCTTGAAGCAGCAAGTGAAAGTGATGCTGCTAACTCTGTCGTGGTCTCTGTAAGTACACCCCATGCATAAATCATAATTTTTGAAGTTTTAATTCCGATTGTTGGTTTTGTGAAAAATAATAAAAACTTATACTTATATTATTGAGATACGAAGTATGAACTCACAAGAGTGTTTCCAAGAGCAACACCATACTTGGTTGCTACATTGACATCAACATTGTTGTAACCCACATCCATGTTGCTGAAAGCTTTTCCACCTGCTTTGCTCAATGCAGAAAACAATGTCTCCCCCAATCTTCAGTCATCTAAAACCCAAAATCGACAAATATTCAATAAAGGAAATCAATTTCCAGATTCATAGCAACTCTAAACAATCCAGAATCACCAGAAAACCCCAAATTAAAGTGGATATACAAGCGCCGATAAACAAAAAGTGATCTGAATTACGAAACGTTACCTGGCCGATAACTCCATCGTACCTATTTCCAATCAAAGCAATGATGTCTTCAACAGATAGTATCGTTTTTTTCTCTGTGCATATCTGAAACATAAAAAACATCGATTAACATATAGAAAATCCAATTTGAAATTGATCAAAATTTTGAAGATTAATCAAACTACTTACTTCAACACGACAATCTTGTTGAACCAGTAAATTAATCCAGCGTGTACCCGGCATGGATTTTGTGCTAACAACTCAGTATTTGCCATTAGGGTTCCATACTTCAATGGAAACTAGTCTCGCCATTTCAGAAAACTTCAAATTGGAGAACGAATTGGTTGTGGTTGACGAGTGAAATGAGTGTGAGCTTCATCACCCTGACGCTTTTTGAACTTGCTGGTTGGATTGATTTGCTGTGGGAGGACTACCGTGTTGTGTGGTGGAGATTCTTCTGATTTTGAGTTGTGACATTGACTTTCATCGGTGAGAAATAGAAGGACGGGGAAAGGGCGTTTTGCAAGAGGGGTATCAGGGGGAATGGAGAAATTGCTGCAGATTGGGGGTAGGGTTCTGTGTCGTTGCCATTCTACGATATGAAGGATACAACCGACACCAACAAGTCGACGATTGGTGGTGTAGTAGGAAGGGCTGGTGGAGGCGGTGACTTGCTGGTGACGGAGTGGTGGCAATGTCGATTATTTGAAACACTGGATTTGGGCATCGACGGATGATGGGAGGATGTAACGAGATGATTGTGAGGGATGAGGCAGGCGGAGATTGGAGATTGTGTCGATGCTGATTGTAGGGTTTTAAACTAAATTCCCTGATTAAAAGGGGATATTAAATATTTTTCATATTTACTAAAATTAAATAGGTTAAACATTACTATTATACCCTTTAAACAATTTATTAATTATTTAATATTTGTTAAAAATTGATTGGTCCACAATCATTCCTGCATCCACACAATAATTAGTTAGAATACCTGAACCTATCTCTCTCTTTCTTTTCTCTCTCTCTCTCTCTCTCTCTCTCTCTTTCTATATATATATATATATATATATATATATATATATATATATATATATATATATCGCTAGGTTATATGTGGATGGACAACTATTGTGCGGACGTGTGGATAGTTTTATTCTATGAGAATTACTAAAAGATTAAGTTGTTTAATAACGTGAATACGTTCAACCTCACATAATTATTGTAATTTCCATGCATTCTCACCAATTCTTATTTAATTTTGTTCTCACACATCGTTTTTCTCTCATTTTCATTTTTACAGAATACGACTCAATAAATATCCTGACAACATTCTGACATAATGAGAATAATAAAAAAAAATCTATAATAACCTTATAGACGATTTAATTGGTAAGAATGTGTGATAATAGCAATAGTTATGTAAGATTGAACGTATTCACATTATCAAACAATATATTTTCTTTGTTATTCTCACAGAATAACATTGTCCACACGTCCGCACAATAGATGGCAATCCACATTTGAACCTAGCTCTCTCTCTCTCTCTCTCTCTCTCTATATATATAGATATATATATATATATATATATATATATATATATATATATATATATATATATATATATATATATATATATATAGAGGGAGTGGTTCAAATGAGAACCACAAAAGATTAAGAACCCTAAGTACTTCTATTTATAAGTAAATATGTACAAAATACTTATTAAACATGTTAAAATCCTGATTTATTTTGTCTTTTTTGGTACGAAAATGGAAAATTTGTAATTGTTACGGTCTAATATTTTCATTCATACATCGATTCATATTTTAATACAAAAATTATATAAAATACAAAATTTAACACAAACAATTTATAGTTTAGTACACAAAATTCATAATTTAATACAATCATAATATCACTAATTCACTAACTTAAGAGAGTCAAACCCAAACTTTACCACCACCACCAACTACCACACGTCAGCACCAACCATTTATGTCAACGTTGCGACCATCATTTCTTTCAAACCAAATCTGTATATAAAATCATGCATTGTCAGCTTAAATATTTTATTTACAGTTTAATAAACTTATTAGTTCACTAATTTAGAGTTTAATGCAGTAATTATAAAAACTAATACATTCTTACATATATACTCCACAAAAAAAATACTCACAACAAAATTAATACAAATATTTATGTTTGTGTGTATGCGTGCGTATAAATTTTAGGCATTTGACATTGTCACATTGTTTTGATTTGTAATTTTTAATATTCAAAGTTAAACAATCTCATTGTGGCTATTTATTAACCAACTACCTAGTGTCCTACTAGGTACTACATTAACCTCTTCGTCCGTTTTATACACGATCCCATCTTGTTAGACCTGTATGCGGGGTTATCTGCCCCATCTATGTCCATTTTATACACGATCCCGTGCACTTTTGGAGATTAAATATGTTGATGTTCCATTAAGAAAAAAAAACATTAGAGATTGAAGTGGGTTTTGGAATATTAATTGTTGATTTCAATTTTTTTTCTTTGTTTAGGCCTCACATCTTGATGTTGTAAATTATTACCAATTGTCCTAAGCCGGTTTCCTATCTATAAACGTCTTATACGTCTTTTGTTCACATTTCACTATCATTGTTCTATGGATACCGGATTTTGTAGACTTGAGTCAATTTATGCAGGCTCATATATAGATAAACAAATGCCAACGTATATTCCCATAATCCCATGCCAAATTATGGATGTATTATAACATAATTATTAATTTCAACATATTTAAAGTGATAAAGGGAAACAAATCTCATTATATGTTAATTATTGGGGAAGAATATTTTGATCAAGACCTTCAAAACAATAATCAATCAATGTATATACACAATTCTCTTTCACACACACGTCGTGCAAAGTATCTTAAAAAACTATAATCACTTATAAAAAGTGATTTATATATAGAGTATAATAATTGAAATATGAATATGGCATGCGTCATATAACATATTTTAGTTTCCATGCACCACATAAGCCTGAGAAATATTGAATCGTGGAAAAGTTATAATAAAATATGATTGTAAAACTTTGACTTTACTTTTTGTTAAATTTGGTTACTATTTTGCTCACGTAAATAAAACGGCCAAACAGAAAAAAGGTAATTTCCAACAGAACTCATGCATAGAATTACACTTATATTGAAAAAGTAATTTTATAGATTATTCGACGTATTCAAGTTAAATAAATGCAACCAAATTAAATACAAGTTTATTAACACATAACATATGAATAAAACTGAACTATTTAATGTTTTTAATGATTCTAACTTCTTAATGCTTAAGATAATGAGAGGTTAATTAACCATTTGGAAGGCAGTTCAAAGAGTTTTGATTCGTTCATTGATCGTTCAGTTGTTGTATCATACACCGATTTATAAATAAATCCCAGATGATATTTTCTAGACGTTATCAAACAGCTCTTAATTTGATGTGACATTTATCTCTTTTCACAAAGTTTTGTTTCTTATAATTTCTGAACACTGAAATTTTACATTTTGTTTGATGTTTTGACATGTTTCACAATTTTTACCCATGTGGATTATTTTCTTTATGTTATCATATTGTTATCATTGTTATCCACATATACCTGTGAACACTTTTTAGCCGCCTAAACTTTTAAACCTACAAGACAAAATAAACCGGTCCCATATTGCTCTTACTTTCCAAGTTCCAACGGTTCGTACTCAGCATGCTAGTCAAATTCCGCTGGCGTTGAACCGCCATCACATTCTTGAAAAAGACTGGACCGGTTGAACTTATATCGCAAAAACTCGGGTTCTGTATGATTTCGACCGGATGAAACTCAAACCGGCTGCGGAATCGCTTAAACCAGTACGGAACTGGAGCACAGTGGAGCTGACGTGGAAACAACGTCTTTATCTCACTTGCCATCCATGCAGCTTCGTATGCCACGTAGGACAACCGTTCATCCCACTTGCCATTCTGCGCACTCCTATAAATTCAGCACATAACTCCTGTTTTGCTATATCCAATTAAATGGGAAATTGTATGAAAAAGCAGACAGCCATTCAACGCGACGGCGACGTCTGGGGATCAACGGCGGCGGCGGCACCGGGAACAATGTATTTATCCGGCAGCCACCGTGGTGACAGTCGGAAGGGAGAGAGTTATTCCGGCGGTAGCTTGGGTGAGAAAACGGCGACGACGGAGGTGAAGATTAAGATATCGAAGAAGCAACTGGAGGAGTTATTGGGTAGGACGGATGTGCAGGGGCTAACGGTGGAGCAGATTCTTGCTAAGTTGATGAAAGTCAGTGATGGATTTGAATCGAATCAACGGCCGTGGAGGCCTGCTCTACAGAGCATTCCAGAGTAAACTGTCGACGTATACCCCCGTATTGGGTTTACCCAATTACGTGAGGGTTTTTTTTTTTTTGTTTTTTTTTAGTTTTTCTAAATTTAATTAAACTGTACATATAATTTTCAACTTTTTTTTTCTTCTTGTTGTTGTTGTAGTTGCAGTGACAAAGTTTGTATATTTGTAAACATTTTGGTTATACATGTTTTTATGGATAACTAATAATATAAAACTTAGCCATTCAAGAAAAAGAATATATAAAGCTTGTATCAAGGCCAAAAGGTTGATGCTGTCAACCCTAACCATTCCCATTCCCATCGAATCCAGACTCTAAGGGTATTCGATAAGGGGACATATTTTCACTCACTCAATGGTTGATAATCATAAGGGTGTTATGGATAAAATTCACTTCACGACCTATTTGTTATCAAAACAAGTATCTCGCATGTTTTACCAATTTAGCTACGTCCCATAGGAAAATTATATGCATTTTAATATGTTTGAGAAGGCAGTCACTTTTTTGACCCATATTTTCATTTCACTCCTTTCTTTTATTATATTTTTAGTTTTTGTACTGCTAAAAGTCTCAAAGTCTCAAACTACATATCTTAACTAAAACTTTTAGAAATGAATACTAATAAATAAAATAAATTACATCACGATCTATCATGATCTCTGCGATAGCTAGAATCAAAATAAGATTAATATTAAATATATATATATATATATATATATATATATATATATATATATATATATATTCTTTAAAAAAATTATCATAATTACATTCCTAACTTTAAAAGGCATAAATATTGATTATCTATTGTTAAAAGGATAAAAAAAAAAAGGAACAAAAATGTTTTGTTTGATATAAAAGATATAGCGTTGATTATTCGAATCGTCCACGTGGTTTGGCCCAATCTATTAGTTTCGTTTTGTTTTTCTTTCGGGTCATCTCTAATAAGTTTTAGCATTGCATGATTCATCATTATTAGATATGAAATGAATATATTGTTCTTTATTATTATTATTTTTAATTTTATTATTCTTTCTTCCATATTATTAGATCTAATGATCATCACCAGTCACTACCCCCGATTCTCCTCCGACCACTACAACCAGTCACCTACGACAACCACCACAAGTCAAAATCAATCATGTCACCGGTAATCAAACCCAATTTAAAAGGCTAATCAAACAATACAAAATCAAACCCGATCAAACCAACACCAAAAAGCAAAACCTTAAACAAATTTGAAATCAAAATCATTCATGAAATCAAAGTCAAATTTGATCAAACCAAAACGAAAAATAAAATGTGAAAGTAATCTGAAATAAAAATCAGTCTTGAGATCTTAACATCAAACCTGAAACAAACTTGAAAATTTTCCTAAAATCCTAATTTGAACTTTAAACAAACTTGAAATCGGTCTTGAAAACTCTAAATCAAACCCCCATAAATCTAAAAATCTTTTTCAATTGTGGTTGGTGTTGTTTGTTGTTGATCTGACCACTTTTGATGTCGAGGTTGAAAATGGTTTTCTTGATGGTGTCGGGGTTGAAGATGGTTGCATTTGGAATCAATAAGGAAAGCAAGGTTGAGAATATAGTGTTAGAAATAGATGATGGGTATAGGGTGGATCTAATGTTAGAAAGATATGGTATGTTAGAGTTGACAATAAAGAGGGATAGAGAGATAGAGAAAGAATGAAAGAAACAACGTCGATATGGAAGGACAAAGGCTCTCAGTGATGGTTGGGTTTGACAGACCATCACCAAAATTCACGCCATTTGGGTTTGGAATGAAAAGGTTATGGTCATTAGAAAATGACTTCTAAAAAAGGTTGAAAGTGAAAAATGAGTACATACCTATGTTTACGAGTTAATAACTCTAGATCTATATTCATTCATCCAAATACATCTAAATAGAAATTGTATTACTTATTACTATCTTTCCAAGGATTTAAGATTCATCAAAATCCTATACTGTATAAAGAGGTTATGGCTATTACAAGATGGGGGTATAAAGAAATAAGGGAAAAGGGGTAAAATCGTGTAAGTGTGGAAAAAGGCCATGTAGGTCGTGTTGCTAATGTGGCTTAGACTATAAGATTGAACAAATGCCAAGTACAGATGTCAAACGGTTTGCACAAGATTCAAGCCCAAATTCACACAAGCCGCATGAAGGCTTTAACCAAAGTTGACTGACGAAAGTCCATTAGACTACCCTTACCGTGGCGGTGCACAGATATGCTCCAAGACCTGAAATTTTACTATGTGATAGATTATTCTCCTAAATTTTGTGTGGATATATAACACACATTATTTAGAGGTCATATTGTCCCTCGATTTAACTAATTTACAAGACTGTTAGGACATGAAACTTGATTTGACGTTGCGGAATGTAGAAGTGCATAATCGAAATAAATGAATTAACGTTTAAGCATAATTGTAATAGAACAAAATTTGTAGTAGCATGTGTTTGCTCCTACAATACTCTCTCAAACTAATCTACTCGTCTATACAAAATGGGAGCTCTCTAAACCTAAAAAAATATTGAACTACTATATATAGGGAAGCTCAACCCATAAGTCACAAGGCTTGAATTCCCACACATGTCATAAAAGGGGTGAATCCTTCAAGTCATCACCAAAGGAGATCTTTGTACCACAACATTCTCCCCCTCAAAGATTGGAATGGATGACTCGGCTTTTAATTTCAAAAGAGTGAATAGCGAATTAAGACCTCAATCGTGACAAGAATGTAGAAGTGATCACCAAATATTCACATTTTCTATAACCTTCTAATACGGGTTCTAGGATGTGAAACTTTACATTCCAAATCTACAGGTGACATGTAACGCCCGATTTCCAGGTAAAATTCTTAAGATATAAGTATTGTTGAGTTTGTGAGTTGGCCCAGTATGCTGGGCGTAATCACGGTATGTTGGGCGTATCATGGCGAGCTTTGGACACAAGGTTTTCCCCTTAGTACGCTGGGCGTACCTGAGCCAGATGTAACCCCTAAATTTTAGGGTTTGGGCCCTATTTAAGCAACATTATGCCTTAAGGTTCTCTCATTACCAGCCTCCATTGTCCCTAAAAGCATTCTCTCAAACCCTAACCCATTTTTAGAGAGAATTGATCATTGTGTGTGTTTTGGTGTGTGTTTGGTACATCTTGAAGAAGAAGAAGCTTGGTGAAGGAGCATTGATCAAGTTGGAGCTTGTAGATCCAAGGTTTATTCATCTCTCTCAGCTTCCTAAAGGTATAAAGTCTTGACCTTGGTTATTTTATGCTTAGATCTAGAACTAGTTGAGATTTGAGCATATTTTGGTCCCATGAATGAGTTCTTGTGAGTAAATGTTACTCCAAAAGTTTTGAGTTGTCCTTTTTGATGTTTTTGAGGTTCCTAGTTCATAAAGTTTGCATCTTGATGGTTGTAGATCAACCATGCATGAGTTAATGATCATTTGATGGAAGTAGAATGCTAAATCTAAGATTTGAGTCTCTTTGAGCCCTGCAAAGGCATTAAGTTAGTGACTTTATCATTTAAGACATTACCCAAGAGCTAGATCTGCAAAATGGATGTTCGGGCTTAAAGAATTAAGTGCTTAATGACTTTTTCGTAAATGTATGCGTCCGAGTCCTCGTTTCCCATTGGTAATGAAGTTGTACATCGGGTGTACTCAGGTGGTACGCTTAGCGTACTCACCAGACCGTTTTCGGACTTTGAGTCTTTTGGGCCATTGTTGGGCCTTATGTTTTTGGGTCATTGTTGGGCCTTAGGTTTTTGGGCCATTGTTGGGCTTTACATCTCTTGGGCCTTGTTGGGCCTTAGGTCTTTTGGGATTAGATTAAGGTGTCTAAGCCAATAATTAAATTGATATATTCTTGTAGTTAAAAGCAAAGTCCTTTTCAGGTTGCCCTAAAACTTAGTTAGAATGACATTTAGGGGGAGAGAGAGAGAGTGTGTGTATATATATATATATATATATATATATATATATATATATATATATATCAGTTTATTATATGAATAATAAATTGTAATAAATGTATTGTTAATATATTATGATTAATATATTAATTGGAAATTGACAATTGCTTTGAGTTCATTAGCAATCTCAACCTTTAGTGGATAATCCAACTCTCTCGGAGCATCGCTAAACCTCTTGCTAAGCGCAAGAGATACAAAAGATCGAGTAGACCCCGAATCGAATGAGACCAATGCAGGAATACCATTCACAAAGAACGATCCTAAACAACAATACAAACATATAAGCATAACAAATAATATAATTAACAAGGTAAGGATAAGATACATACCAGTGACCACATCAGGTGCTACACGAGCCTCCTCGACTGTCAGCTGAAATTCCCTGATCCGAACAACTGGTGTCTCCGCCCTGCCTTGGCGGCCATCAGTAATCCTCAAAGCCGTTAGAGCAGGTGTTGCTATTGGTCCTCCTAATGCTAAACTCCGGTAGTTGGCCGTCTTGTGGCCCTTCTAATTGTAATGGAAGCAAATCAAATCTGATGTCAGGGTGGTGGTGGTGGTAGTAGCAATGCAATCCCTACTGAAATGCCCCGTCTTGTCGCACTTGTAGGAGCCTGAACCACCCGTGTAACGTCCCAAAAATATGATCCAAAAATTTCATTTTTAATTTAAGTAAAACAATATTCCAACATCATCCATACATCCCAAATAAAGCAAGTGTATCAAATATCATAGAATCAGAGTGAAACATCAAATGCGGAATCCATGTGGTGTGTGCGATGCAGCCATCCCGAGATCTTCCCCTTGGAACCGGAAGTACCTAAAACATAAACTGAAAACCGTAAGCACAAAACTTAGTGAGTTCCCCAAGATACCGCATACCAACATACATAGCATATAACGGGCCCCGCCCAATGAGTATAGTGGGCCCCACACTAACTCGCATAACGGGTCCCGCCCTAACTCGCATAACGGGCCCCGCCCACATACAAATCATATAGAAACTATTAACATACATGATAATCATCGGGCCCG